CCTAGACCCTGATGAAGGGTCTAGGCCCGAAACGTCAGCCTCTCTGCTCCTATGATGCTGCTTGGCCTGCTGTGTTCATCCAGCTGTGCACCTTGTTGTCTCATAGTAAGCAAGGACGTGCAGATCAAAAAGACTTAGAGGCATACAGGTTACATTGCACAGGGCATGCACGAGGCAAGATCAATGTTAGTGAGATCAGCATTACTTGAGGCTACAGAGTCCGTTCATCAGTCTGATAATGGCCAGGAAGAAGCCGTTTCTGATCTTGCTGGTGCGTGTGTTCAGGTTTCTGTAACTTCTGCCTGACAGAAGAGGTTGTAGGAGAGCATTAGCAGGGTGTGATGGGTCTTTAATGTTGGCTGCCTTTCCACGGCAGTGAGCCATGTAAATAGAGTCCATGGATGGACGGTTGGCTTCTGTGATGGCCTGGGCTGTGCACACCACCTTCTGTCATTTCTTATAGTCCTGGGCAGAGTGATTGCCATACCAGGCTGTTACGCGCCTGGACAATATGCTTTCAATGGTGCCTCTGTAGAAGTTGGTGAGGGACCTTATGGACATGGCAAATTTCCTGAGCCATCCGAGGAAGAAGAGACATGAGGAATGTTGGATCAGCCATGATTCTATCGAAGGGTGGAGTAGGCTCGAGGGACTGAACAACCTACTGTTATTCCTATTTCTTATGGTCTTACGGTCATAAAGTAGTAGATGCAACCAAGAGGTATATTTCATGCCTCTCTGTCCAACCCCTGGCCAATTCTCTCCTGTCCATTGAGGTTTGGATAGTGGTGGGTATTATATACACCCCATGTTCCTTATTGTCTCCCAAGTCTTCAATAATGCAATAGTTAGTAATTGATCAACCAAAACATGGTAATGGGGAGTGTGCAGATTTGGGAGACGGCAGGATGCCATTACAGAACGAATGGGGAGAAAAGGTTAGCCACAAAGATATAATGCAGCATAAACAGATAGAAAGGACAGACAGAAGAAAGAAATGAATAAGCTAGTGACAGGAAGAGAGAGAATTTTAGTTTGTTCCTATCTGTAAAGTACATTATGAAAAATTAGCTGGTATATGTTCTAGTTGAATACATGCAAGCTTCTTGAATGTAGAACAAACTCTTGTCTTGAATGCTGCATGCTACTTATTTTGAAGTTTTTACATTGTATAATGTAACTATATTCTCTCCAAGCCCATCCAAACTCTTCCTTTACTTTCATTTTGGAAACAGCTTTTTGCAAACGAGACGTCCTCCGACCATGTTGGTTTTGCTCGTGTCAAGATTGACCTAATCAACGAAAACGACAACAGGCCAGTGTTTAGCCAATCGCTATACAACGTGAGCTTGTTTGAGAATGCATCTGTTGGACTCATCGTCGCTGGTATTGTGGTAAGTACTCTTTTACAATTGTGCATTTCTTCCTGACCCACAGATCTAAACCTTTCCCATCAGCAGCTGAGAGATAATGTCATGGCAGTCAGCAAAATGTGACACTAGTGTTGTTTGCATGTCATCATCCCCCAAGTGATCAATGATCATTCTTGTGACATGTGTCAGGTAGATTAAGAAATGCTGTATGCAGCATCCCGTGAATATAAATTTACAGGTAATATGGCTCAGTTTAATCTGTATAACTGTTTGTTTGTCTGGAAATGGGAAGGAGATGGGCAATTTTGATAGTCGTTTACTAAATAAATGTGAGATTATCCATTTAAGTCAGAGGAATAGAAAGGCAACTTATTATCTAAATGAAGAGAAACTCAGAACGTTCTCATGCATGAATGGCAGAAACCCAATATGCAGGTACAGCAGGTAATAAGGAAAATAAATAGAACTTTGGCATTTATTGCTAACAAAACAAAATATAACAGTAGGGAAGTGTTGCCGCAATTGTACAAGGCATTAGTGAGACTATACCTGGAGTATTGCATACAGTTTTGGTCCTGTTACTTGAGGACGGATGTAGTTGTATTGGAGGCAGTTCAGAGGAGGTTCACTAGATCGATTCCAGAGATAAGAAGGATATTATAAAGCTGGAGAGGGTTCAAAAGGGATTTGCCAGGATGTTGCTGGGTATGGAAGGTTTGAGTTATAAGGAAAGGCTGGATAGGCTGGAAAGTGGAGTTGAGGCTGAGATGAGATTAGCCGTGATCGTATTAAAAGGTGGAGCTGGCTAGAATGGCTGAATGGCCTCTCCCTGCTCCTAATTGTTATGTTTTAAATGATGGGTGCTGTGAGTAAGCTCAAATGAAAGAACAGATCTCTGAATTGTTCCACTTTACTTGAGTAGTCCACCACATCAGCCAGCACGGTTTGGGATTGGTCTTTAATACGTGTTCGGAGGAGTCAGCTCATGTTGTATATTTGTGTACTGAAAGGTTCAGTATTGAGAGATGTGAATAATTCTCTCCAAAATTTTGCAGTTATTAATTGCTGCATACAATAAGAGGGTATAGCTCAATTGTTGTGATCCCAGTTGATGGAAATAATTGACAAGTCCAATCCCAGAGAGAAACCTGACTTGACAGACCATCAGATTTATCTTTGCAATTTAGTTTCTGTGGTGGCCAGTCACTGAACATGTTCACAAGAGTCTGCCAATTATTTTTAATAAAACAATGTGGAAGTTTATTAACACAAAAGGGGAAACAAAATCTATTTTGCATTTTAACAAGGGCAATCAGTCCAGGAATACAGATAGTTCAGTCAGTGGCTGGATCATGATCAGTTGGAGCTATTTCTCATATCCAGATCCTGGGAATGTGCCATCAATCTGGGGAAAAATAGAATTTCAAGTCTGGAGCTGGGCTTTGATTTGATTTGATTTATTGTTGTCACATGTACCTAAGTACAGTGAAAAGTTTTGTTTTGTGAGCAGTACAGGCAGATCATATCAAACAAGGACATACAGATCATAGGGCGTTTAGACGGAGTGAGGCACATGAGGTTATAGCTGCACAAGAGGTGCGTGAAGCAAGATTAACATTAGATTTGAAATTAGAGAGGTCCATTTGGCAGTCTATTAACAGCAGGGAAGAAGCTGTTCTTGAATCTGTTGGTGCGTGTGTTCAAGCTTCTGTATCTTCTCCCTAACAGAAGAGGTTGGAAGGGAGTATAACCAGGATGGGAGGGGTCTTTGATGTTGGCAGCCATTCTGCAGCAATGAGAAATGTAAGTGAAGTCCATGGATGGGAGGTTGGCTTCCGTGATGGTCTGAGCTCTGTACACACCTTTCTGTAGCTTCTTGTGGTCTTGAGCAGAGCAGTTGCCGTACCAAGGCCATTATGCACCTAGAATGTGGTGCATCTGTAAAAGTTGATGACAGTCCTTATGAACGTGCCAAATTTCCTAAGCTTCCTGAGGAAGAAGGACTGAGTCATTGAGGAAATGATTACAGTGAATGGGGCGATTCAAGACAGAAAAGTGGGGTCTCATAGAGCATAAGAGGTGACCGGGAGCTGAGGGTAGAGGGTTTCACCAGTCACTATCACTCTAGCCTCTTTATGGACAAGTATGTGGTAATTTACAAAGCCATAGGCTCTGGGGGAAGTATGGAGAGGTGGTGATGAATTGGGAAAGTTGATGGTTTTATAACGGGGCTGAATGAGAAACACAGGGACAGCAGCACCAAGGGAGCAGGAAGATTATGTGACTCAGTCCCAGCCTGCAAGTCACTCATGGGGCCACGAGATGGAAACCCTCACCAACTTCAACCCAACGTCAGCTGTGCCACGACAAGACAAAATGGCTGCCAGTGTGTGCGGAGTGGGCGGAGTTAGTTACTGTGCCTTTCTTCAGCAGCCTAGATAACTTGTTTGAACCACTAAGGGCAGTCGCATTTGTCTCACATCCGCTGATCCAGTAATACCACCCACTGAGAGCAAACTGCACTTCTTCACAGAATCACAGAATCACAGAACTGTTACAACGCAGAAGGAGACCATTCAGCCCACTGGGTCTACAGCATCAGCAAGCATTGTCCAAGAATGATTATGGCCTCCCGCAATTATTGGCACTAATTGCCTCCTTGTCATGTGAGCGAAACAAATGTAATGAGACACTATCTGAAAAGCATTGCCTGGGCTTGGCATTTCTGAAACACATTCCAGAGCTATCACTGAAAGAAAGCACTTTGTAGCCTCCTCTAGGCTACACTGTTCTCCAGTCACATCAAAGATTGTTCCCCCATGGCATGAGAAGCCTTATATCTGCCCCACACCTGCCACCTCCCCCGGTGGCAGTCATGCCCCTCCTTGGCCTGGTTGGGAGACAATCCTTCCTACAATGAGACAAAGGCAGGGTTTAAGACTAATGGAGGGGATTGAAGACAAGTTAGCGGTGATGCAGAATCTAGTGAGGTGGTGGTAATTTGGAAGTTGAGGTGAGGGAGAGCCCTTGAGCAGACATGATGCATGCGGTGGTGAGAGTTATTGTCTGTGAGCCACAATGAGAGGCGTGTGTGATGGCAGAGTGAGCAGAGGGCCCTGTGAGTGTGAGAAGATGCTGACACCATTTTTCAGAGATGGGGCGGTGGGAAGCAGGTTATTGACCTTCTGTCTGCACCACATTGTATTTAGAGGACAATCCACTAACCTGGGCTGCTGTGCCAACCCAGAATGGTGGATTCAGGTGGCATGTGGAGTTCCTTCCATCTGAATCACCAAGTTCCAGGCAGTGAACCGAGGAGCTAACCTCTCTTCCTGGGCTCTGTGCTGAACACAGTGACTTAAGGCCCACGGTGTGAGAGTCAATTCATAGCCTGCAGCATCTGAAGTGGTGTGCATCCGGGCTTTAGATATAGCATCTACCATGTGAATGATTGAGGAACACTTCCAGCTCCCCATGCTATGCGATTCCATGAGGTAGGCACCTTAGAGTCCGGATAATGAGATAAAGAACGGACTGTGAACTGGGGTGGACTGGTATCATCAAGCTCACTCAGAAAAACACTTTAAGCCTCCCCTTAACACTCTAACCACAAACTTGAAGCTAGATGTGATTCAGTTCTACTTTGGAACTCCAGTTTCCAGATAATGATAACAATGTATTGTGAACCTTCATCAATATGACATATTTCAACATGGAACTGGTGGGAAAATGTATTTCTATTACTCCATAAGAATCTGATGTGTGCAATGTGGAAGCCTTCCAATGATATGTCCTGATTGGAGCTACAGATGGCCTTTCAGAGCAACTTGCAGTAATTGTACCTCATCTTGCGGGGTTAGTCATTTTATAACTGAATCTAATTTAGGTTTTATTCTTGTACTAATTGTAGTTCATCTCCAGAGGTTTCTCATGTTGAAGAGATGGCTTTCTGATAACAAATGCAAAATATTTTGAAATGCATGTGTCCGTGTTAGAAGTTGTCTGTGTTAAGCACAGTGGTAGTGTCTGTACCTGTGGGCCAGAAGGTCTGGGTTCATACCCCACCTGCCCCGAAGGTGTGTCATAAATATCCTAGCAGATTGATTAAAAAGAATTGAAGGTTTTCGGTGCACTTGGTGTAGGATTAAGTCCACTCCAGGAGTGGGCCAAGACATTGGGCAATGTGGTGCTGCAGTATCAGAGGTGGTGTTTTCTCAAATGGGAAATTCAGTGTGTGTCCTGTTTTAGAGCATGTGTCAGGGATCACAAATTCCATGCCACTATATTGAGGCAACCACAGGATGACCCTGGTATTGCAAGACCACAAAGGAGCACAAATTGATCATCTATCCTGGTGTGATTTACTGCTACTTGGGTTTTTTTACCCAAATAGAAGTGAAGTCACCACAGTCACAGTGGGCCATAGGGTTGGTCTCTCATTAGAAAGAGAGACGGACTGGTAGTGGTTTAACCTGAGGATCACCATACCTCAGGTGAGAGGTGAAGTTGAGAGTGAGTCCTTCATAGTAATCTCAACCAGTGTGGGAACTGAACCCACACTGTTGGCATCACACTGCATCGTAAACCATCTGTACAGCCAGTAATGATTGCAAGTACACCTCCAAGCCATTCATTATCCTGACTTGGAAATATATCACCGTTCCTTCACTGTTGCTGGATCAAACTCCTGGAATTCCCTTCCTAATGGCATTGTGGTCAACCTACAGCACATGGACTGCTGTGGTTCAAGACTCCACCTTCTCAGGGGCAACTAGGGATGGGCAATAAATGTTGGCCCATCTAGTGATACCCACTAAATAAATAAAATAAAAATGATAATTATTGTATTAGGTGGTGACAGTTTGAATGTGAAGAAGTTTGAACCATTTCAGTGTGATTGTTGTATCATTGCGAGTCCCTTGTCTGCAGTGTGCCATATTAATGAGGATGTATTGCCCCAGGTAGTGGTAGGGATACTGCTGAGACTCACTCCATGCTCACTGTTATTAAGGGGTAACTTGGACAGCAACTTCTGGCAACTCAACGCATGCAGTTGAATGGCGAAATCAAATCGTACCTTTGTTGTTCTTGTTACAGAAGTGTTGCAACAGATTACACTTTGAAATGAGCCTAACATAAAATGTTCACAATACCTGCACTATTGAAATGTTGAGTCCTTTTCCAGATCCAATGATGTAAAACCTTTGGGCTCATTTGCAGCAGATTGTTGAGGGTGGTGACCCTCCTGGTTGGAACTGGTCAGAATCTGTGCAGTGCAGGCTTTGACCAGTTCCACCAGTGATGGCAAGGAAAAAGCCCTTTAAAAGTGAGCCTTGAACTGTTTCAGTGGGCCCTGGAGTAGCATTGGCGTTCAAGGAAAGGCCACAAATGGGTTGCCATTGCTCCACCTGTCCTCTAATTTGCCATTATCCTGCGCCAAATCTGCCAGGTTTTGTTCAGGTGGCAGTCAGGCAGACTACAGCTCACTTGACCAATTTCAACAAGACAGAAGCCTCAGAATGGCAGAGAGTCATAGAGTCATACAGTACAGAAACAGACCCTTCGGTCTGACTAGTCCTGGCTGACCATGTTCTCAAACTAAACTAGTCCCACTTGCCTACGTTTGGCGCATATCCATCCAAACCTTTCCTATTTATGGACTTATGCAAATGTCTTTTAAGTGTTGTAACTGTACCTGCACCCACCTCTTCCTCTGACAGTTCATTACACACACGAACCACCTCTGTAAAAAAGTTGCCCCTCGTGTCTTTTTTGAAATCTTTTTCCTCTCACCTTAAAAGTATGCCTTCTAATTTTGAACTCGCCCCACCCCAGGAAAAAGATTTTGCTATTCATCTTATCTATACCCCTCATGATTTTAGAAACCTCTACAATGTCACCCCTCAACCTCCCACTCTCCAGTGAAAGAAGTCCCAGCCTATCCAGTCGGTTTTTATAACTCAAACCCTCTATTCCTATCATAGCAGTTGATATGTGCATCCTGCCCAATGCTATAAACTCCAGGATAAATGGCTGGAATTTACCTCAGGCAATAGCTCATAGTGACCTGCCACTTCACTGTCACCTGTAATGACTTCACCCCCAACTCTCTCTGAGTAACACAGCGGGTGAAGGCACACAGCATGCACTGGTTGGACCAAAAGGTCTGTTTCTGTGCTGCCTGAGTCTATGACTCTATAAGTAGCAAAAACTGCAAAAATTGGGTCTAATGCAGCGGGAGATGTACTTTATGGTCTCTGCGTCATTTATGGAGTATGTTGCCTTTCAATGTTGTCACTGATTCAAATGTAGTCCATCTGAATCTCCGTTTGTAGAACATTCTTGGCCTTGATTCTATAAAGTGCCTCCAAGACATTCATGTGCTTTTGGTTGGTGGCCCAGAAACTGCAGGCAAATCTGCTTTTATATTTGAGTTCCATGACAACGCTAGTAACATTCCAACAGTGACTACACTTCAAATGCACTTCATTGGCTATTTGGGATATTCTGAGGCCATAAAATGTATGATATCAGTGTATCTCTTTCTCTTTTAAGAGAATGTGATCATAGGCTTGTTTCATTTCTTTATTTCATGCCGTCCCCCCACCCCCACCCCAGTACAGCCAATTGTTTGGCCGTTTATTAATAACAGCATATTTTGTTGATATTATGTGCACTAACAGTTGGCCTATTCAATTCTAACAATGCAACGAAACACATCAATTGGCAATAATACTTATTGTTATTTAGAAGATATACTAGAGGCTCATTTTTAAACTGTAATCCTTCACCTGTCTTTAAATGATAATTCCAGACCGTTCCAGTTTTATTCTCGAGTTGAGGCTTGTTAGCCCATGCATCACCTAATCTCACTCCCAGGTATCCATTACTGTCTACTTTTTTGTTGCGAAAGTGATCTGTAAATTTTGCATTTAAAGAGAGCTCTCACAAAGTCCTCATAACCACACAATTTTGTTTGTTTTTCTTTTGTGGATAAGAGAGATACACAGAATTATTTTCAGTTGTGATTATTTTATGAACAGATGGTTTTAAATTAGAAATTGCACACAAGATGCCTACATTTGGCAGGTATAATTACTCGAAACAGATGCTCAAAAATCTAATTGCTCAGCCATTAACAGCAATAATGTTTTTCTTCAGATTTGAATCACCAGCAGGCCAACAGAAGAAGAAAAACACAATACGCTACCAACAAACAATTACTTAATACTTGAGACATTGACTGAAACTACTGAGATAGAATTTCCATCCTTTGCAGTCAGTGTTTGTCTAGAATTAGTCAGAAGTCACACGACACGAGGTTATAGTCCAACAGAGCTCTGAAAGCTTATGATTTCAAATAAACCTGTTGGACTATAACCTGATGTCATGTGACTTCTGACTTTATCTACCCCAGTCTAACACCGGCACCTCCACATTATGGCTAGAGTTATCACAGAAATTACAAGGGGCAGGTCTGGTCCAGTGAATCGTTGTTGACGTTTATCCACCACACAAACAGTAGCCCTAAGCCTGTGCATTCCTGAATACTTTTATTGCCCCATTCCTTCAGTCACCTCACCCATTCTTCAGCTTAGGATGATTGCAGAATTGACAAAAAATACTCAAATAGTGCAGCAAAAAATACTCTCAAAGACCAGAAGATTACAGGGAGTATTATGGGAGATAAAATTCCATGTCAGTAATTGTGAAGTGGTAACATGTAAAGTGAGGTAAATATGAGAAGCTGTTTCTGCTGGTTGGCGTCTAAGACGAGGATAGTTGTCTTAAAAATTGGAGCTGGACCTTTTAGGCATGAAGTCAGGAAACATTTTTTCACACAACGGCTGGTGGAGGTTTAGAATTGTCTTCTGTAAATGGCTCTTGATGCTTGATCAATTCATTTTAAATCTGATTAGAGACAAAAAGACAAGCTCCAGATGCTGGAATCCAAGGTAGACAAACAGGAGGCTGGAAGAACACAGCAGGCCAGGCAGCAGTCACCGTTTCAGGTATTGGACTGAAGAAGGGTAATACCCGAAACGTTGACTTCTCCTCTCCTCCAAATGCTGCCTGGCTTGCTGTGTTCTTCCAGCCTCCTGTTTGTCTACAGTTTTAAATCTGAGATGGATAGTTTTTGGTCAGCAAAGGTGTTGAGAGATGTGAGGCCTTCTGTGGCAATGAATTCCATAGATTCGCCACTCTCTGGCTAAAGAGGTTTCTCCTTATCTCCGTTCTAAAGGGTCTTCCCATTACTCTAAGGCTGTGGCCCTAGTTCCTAGTCTTTCCTGCCAATGGAAGCATCTTCCCAACATTCACTCTGTCCAGGCCATTCAATATTCTGTAACGAGTGACTGTTGTATGTTGTACTGTATTATATCATTATTGTATTGCAGCTGTGTATAAATTGAGATACGAAACCATTCATAATCCAGGGACTCCGCATATCAAATTTGAATGTCATCATGTGTCATGGCGGGATCCGGACCCATATATCCAGAACATTAGGCTGGAGTTATGGAATGCATTAGTCAGGTTATCACTAAGCCACCTCTTCCCAACCACACCTGAACCTCTTCCTCCTCCCGCACCCCACCCACCTCCCACTTTGAGCATCCACATTACCTTCACACTCCTCTTTCTCCCATTCCCAGTGTGACTGATCGGAATCGTTGGAGTTAGACCTTTATACGCCTGCCCTTGCCCCAAACGTCTCACTAACCTTTGACTCAAAATCTATTCCATCTCGGATTTAAAACTTAAGTTCCAAACTTCCACCACATTTTGCATGAAAAAACGCCCATGCCTCAAAGGTCTGTCTGTAATTTTTTTGGCTTGTCCTTTTGTCTTAGATACCTCCTGACCAAGGGATAAAGCTTTTTATATTCATTCTAAAACATTAGCACACCACAGCTACAGTCATTGACCTTAATGTTTTATGACCTCCTACAATACCTCTTGTAGCTTTTACTGGTTTTTCACTTCTTTTGTTTTAATGATTTCATTTTTTTCAGTAAATTTGGACATGTCACCTTTAACCCTATAATCTGTTGCTCCTATCGCACTGACTACACGCAGCTACATCTCTCCACCACCTCCTCCACATCACTCACTGTCTCCACACTTATAGAATCCTGCAGCACCAAAAGGAAATTTTATATTATCTTGGATTTTCAAATTTGAGTTTCTGTGCTTTCATTCTCTCTGTCTTTAAAGAAATTCTGACTCTAGAACAAAATCTTCTTTCACGATGCATCGGAGAAGAATATTCATGATGTAATTATTTTAAACCAATGTCTAGGTAGAACAGATTTATGTGATTGGGATTTCTTCTGCAAAGGACACATTCTGTTCAAATTTGACTTATTGCTTATTAAGACTCTTTTTTGCATTGTTATCTTCTGATTTCTACAGTGCAAGAACTGCATTCACCTGAGGACTCCCAGACTGTGTGTGGAGTTGGAAAATAATGCCCCTGAAATCTAAAATCCCTACAGTGCAGAAGCAGGCCGTTCAGCCCATCAAGACCACACTGACCCTCTGAAGAGCATCACACCCAGACTCCCACCCCGTGCCGTATTCCTGTAACCCATAGCTTCCCATGGCTAATCCACCTGACCTGCACATCTGTGGCAGGAAACTGGAGCACCCAGGGAAGAGCCACGCAGACACAGGGATAATGTGCAAACTCCACACAGACAGTTGCCTGAGGGTGGAATCAGACCTGGGTCCCTGGCGCTGTGAGGCAGCGGTGCTAACCGCTGAGCCACTGTGCCACCCTAAATAGATAGTTAGAGATAATGCGAGACAAGTATTTCTTGCAGGTTGTGTACTGACCAATATCATCTATGGAAACAGAAGTCTCAAGCACAGGAAGAGTCCACTTGGCCCACCATGACTGTGCTTGATCTATGGAGGAGCACGTTCGTCCCACGTCCCTGTTTTTCTCCAGAATGCTGCAAGTTCCTTATCCCCAGGTACTTTTCCACTTTGATTTTAAAATCATTTACGGAATTGTTTTTCACCACTTCATCAGGTTAAGATCCCCAAGGACTTGGTTGAGTGAATAAATTTCACCTTATCTCCCCTACTAAGATTTAAAGTCAGAGGTAGAAGACTAAGAGGAGAGTTTAGGAATTCTTTTCATTCAGAGACAGTTGCAAGTCTGGAATTTACTGGCTGAAAGTGTGGTTGAGTCAGAAACCCTCATAACATTGAAGCAGTGCTTAGATGGTCACTTGTGTTATCACAGCCTCCAGGTCTCTGGAACAAAAGTTGGAAAGTGAGATTACAGATAACACAGTGTGGAGCTGGAGCAACACAGCAGCCAGGCAGCATCAGAGGAGCAGGAAAGCTGACGTTTCGGGTCAGGACCCTTCTTCAGAAATCTTACTACCTCAAAGTGGGATCAGTGTCTGTTGACCAGCACAGAGGTGAGGCAATTGAGATGTTGACCTTTGTTTCAAAGGAAATAGACTAGAAAAATAGGGAGGTCTTGCTGAACAAAAAAATGCAAGGGTCTAGTCAGGCCACAGCTGGAATACTGTGAACAGTTTTGGTCTCCCTTATCTAAGGACAGATACTGTCATTGGACATAATCCAGAGACAGTTCACTAGCTTGATCCCAGGTGTAGACGGATCATCTTATGAGGAAAGGTTGAGTAGATTGGGCCTATACTCATTGGTATTGATGAGAATGAGAAATGACTTTTTGATACATATAAGATTGACAGGGTAGATGGTGAAAGATCATTTCCCCTTGTGGGAAAGATTAAGACCAGAGGGTATCATTTCAGAGTAAGGCATCACCCTTAAGGCAGAGATGTGGAAGGTTTTCTTTCCCCATAGAATTCCCTACAGGGTGGGAGCAGGCCACTCAGCCCATACTGACCCTCTGAAGAGCATTCCACATGGCTAATCCACCTAGCCTGCACACCATGGCAATTTAACATGGCCTACCCACCTAAATTGCACATCTTTGGACCGTGGGAGAAAACCCACACAGATACAGGGAGAATGTGCAAACTCCACACAGACAGTCGCCTAAGGGTGGAATCGAACCTGGGTTCCCAGTGCTCTGAGATAGTAGTGCTAACCACTGAGCCACCATGCCACTCTTTTCTCTGAGGCTTGTGAGTCTGTGTAATTCTTTACTGCAGAGAGCTGTTGAAGCTGTGGTATTATGTATATACAAGGCTGAGATAGTGAGGTGTTGTCTGGTTCCTCTTTAAACAAGTTTTAGACAACTCCAAGGAGGATGTTATGAATGAATTGGCCCTAGTGTCTCACAATACCAAAGTGGTCAAAACAATACAAACACAAGCCAGTACCAAAGCAAGACCTTGCCATTTCAATAAGTACGAAATTACTATAATTTTTAATACTAAACATAATGTCCCTCATCCTATTTGGCCACTTATGGTTACAGTACTTCCCGAGTGTCTTGGAAATTTACACAGTTGCGCTCTCTGTGGCACTGCCTCTGGGTCTGCTTTCTCCCTCTCTTTCTGGATGGTCAGCTGGTCCCTGCCTCTTGCCATGCTGGTCTCCCCAGAAGGCCTCAGACGATTCCAAGACTGGCTCCAAGAGAGCGGTCTGCAGGTGAACTCTGTTTTTATACCTTTTAGATGGTTTTCTGGAACGTACTGTAGTTCTAACTAATCAGGGAGATGCGCTTAATAGTTTGAAGCAAGAGTCAATCATTTAGATGGCATGCTAATGTCAAGTTTCTTTGTGTACCAGGACCCGGTGCCTTTCTATCTGGGCTGCCCTTTGTTTAGTGGGTAAGTTGCTGAGGCTGTCTGTGTGGACTAACTGTTGCTTTTTGCATTATGCTAAGTTAGTTGTTGACTTGCTCGCAGAGCAGGCTGGTTATAGTACAGACGTTGCATCACCATGCTAGGTAACATCATCAATGCAGCCTCTGATGAAGCAATGTTGTTCTACTCCACTTGGAATTTATATGATCCGGTCTGTTAAGTTGGGTTGTGTCATTTCCAGTTCTGTATGCATGGGTTTGTATATGGAGTCTAATTCTATATGTTTGTCAATTGCGTTATGGGTTGAAATCCAGGCCTGTAGGAACTCCCGTGCATGTCCTAGAGGCCCGGATTTCAACCCATAATGCAATTAACAAACATATGGAATTAGACCCCCTGTACAAACCCATGCAGAACAGAACCGGAAATGACACAACCCAACTTAACAGACGAAATCATATAAATTCCAAGTGGAGTAGAACAACATTGCTTCAGCAGAGGCTGCATTAATGATGTTACCTAGTATGGTGATGAAACGTCTGTACTATAACCAGCCTGCTCTGCGAGCAAGCCAACAACCTCATCCACCACCCGAGCTACAGATCTTCGCAGGACCCTTAAATTATGCTAATGTCGTTAGCACCTAGCTGCTATAATTGCACCATGTCTGTGTGTGGGTTTTGTGATTTCAGAGTTTCACTTGGCCCAGAATCCCTTGCTGTTTGGCCAAGTTCTCAATCTGTGTTTTAGCAGCCAGGAGGCTGCTACAGAGGTTTTTAATCAATGAGGGAATCAAGGGTTACGGAGAAAAGGCAAGGAAAGTGGAGCTGAGGGTTATCAGATCGGGCATGATCTCATTAAAATGTGGAGCTAACTCAATGGGCTGAATGGCCTGCTTCTGCTTCTAAGCCTAATGGGAAAATGGCCACCTTCTGTGCAGTAAGTGTTGGAGTCTAACTTGTTGGTCAATATGAAAAAGGCCATGTTTTACACACAATGCCAGATCTTTGGCAACAAGGTGTAGGGCTGGATGAACACAGCAGGCCAAGCAGCATCATAGGAGCAGAGAGGCTGA